CCTCTTAATGGGTACGAATGGCTCCAGCTTGTCTTACCTCCTTCCTGCACTTGCTTCTCTGTGTTGTGGGCTGTTCCACTGTAGTCTCTGGATTGGGCCCTGGCCATGCCTGCCTGCTGTGCAGGGAGCCCTGAGCTTCCCTGGGCCTTGCGGCCGTTTTACCTGCAGGTTGCCTGTCCTGTGGTCTGTGACTTGCTCAGCGTCCTCAGGTGTGCTCTTCCGACTCGAGGCTCTCACGGGGCCCCCCGCCCTGCCCAGCCCAGCTGCCCTCTCCGTGGCGTTTCCAGGCCCGCGGTCTGTCTGGTGTTCTGTGTGCCAACTTCGGCTCCCTCCAGTTCCCTGATGGGCTTTTCGGCACACCCAGGACCTGCGCACCAGGCCTGTTAATAACAACAGACAGAAGTGTGACCACTCTTTGCTGGGGGATGTGGTTTGGCCCAAATCCTCTGCATCCCTTGTTGTGGCCACTGTGGCCTGGGCAGAGCTGGGCCCTCTGTCCTGGGTGCCACTCCCATGAAGCGGCAAAGGAGGTGCTGCTCGGTGGAAAACGCTAAGGGTGGGGAGAATTGCATTGTAGGGAAGAGAGAAGGGGGTTCTGGCCTCCAGCCTCCTTCCCCAGGCCCCACGCACAGCGCAGCTGGTGGCACTCTGCGTCTCCCGCCTCTCCTCCCACCCCAGACCTATCTTTCCCGGGAGGTGGCCTTGGCATGGCCAGTCCTGCTGTCGAGAAGGGCAGGTGCCTGTTCGTTAACACGTGCCGCTCCTGGAGCACTGGCTATGAGTGGGGGCACCTGGCGTGGGGCTGGACAGCCAGGGCTTGCTGTCTAAATGTGCAGTGACAAGACCCTTCCCTTCTAGGGAGCCGGCTCCGACTCCGAGCTCTTTGTGGACTGATCTGCAGATCGAGGACAGCGCTGAGCAGAGCTGGCCGGGTGCTCATCCCTGGTGGGGGCAGAGGGGTCTGCATCCCAACCCCCAGCTGCTGAAGTGGTGGGGTGAGTGTGCCCTTCCCATGCCTGCCCACCGGCATTGCTGAGGGTCCCCAAGCTAGGGAAGGATGTCTCTGGCAGGGCAGCTCAGTGCTGGGCTCATTCTTTTCACATCAAGGTAGCCATCCCTTCTTGGTGGTTTCCCTTGCTTTGTGGCAGGAGCTGGTGGCCTGTGAACAACTGCTGGGTGTTTAGACGAATTCCCGGGCGGGCTCTGGAGCCACTCTTGCCCGGTCGCTTGTCTGCTGCAGTGAACGCAGAAGCTGCCTCCTCGCTGAGCCTCAGGACACTCACTGGCTGTTCTCACCTGCTCTGCACAGCCTGCCTTGTGCACCTCCTGACCCCGTGTCCACAGCCCGCCCTCCTTGGCTCACGTCTCTTCCTGGGGTCTCAGGGAAGCGGCACCTCTTCAGGGGCCTCCCAGCCGCCTCCGAGGCTGTCTCTGCTTTCGTGTCAGTTTCCCGGGTCCCTCCCACCCCTGACCCCCTGTGCCTGCAGCCCTGCCAGGCGTGATGACCAACACATCCTCCAGAGGAGCTTCTGTCATGTGGAACCAGCCAGGCCCGCCGGACGGCAGGCAGGCAGGGAGATGGAGAAGCAGCCCCTCCATGGGGCAGACGGTGCCATAGTCTTCACCGCCTCAGTCTGGGGGGCATCGGGCTGCAGGTCTGCTCTTCCCTTTCTTCAGTAAAGGACAGATGAGAGGACCCAGGTCCCCAGTGTCAGTGGCAGGTCAGGGATGCCAAAGGGCTGAGCAGAGATTGGCCAGCCCTGGCCAGAGGCTCTGGGGCTGGGC